AAGAGGTTGCTGCCTGTGTTCTCCTTTAGGATTTGGACAGATTCCTGTCTCACATTTAGGGCTTTTATCCATTTTGAGTCTATTTTTGTGTGTGGTGTAAGGAAATGGTCCGGTTTCATTCTTCTTATACATTATATTTGAAAAACTCTCTGTACTGTTCATATATATATGTATAAAACACACACGTGCACGTTTATTATAAGTTTAGAAAAACCAAGTTAATATAGGAAGAAAATTAAACTCACCGCTTTTCTATTCAGAAATAGTCACACTTGACAGTACAATGTATACGTCTTTTGAGTTTCTTTTCATAAATACAAATGAACAAACTTCATATAACTAAAGGCAGACTTTTAAAAGAATAACTGTAACGCTGGGATTCGAGTATTTATTGAAAACACATGTGCTGCAGAGAAGCTATTTGTTAGCGGAACTCGTACACGCGCCTAAGATAGCAACGTTTAAATGCTCCGGAACAAACGCGTTCATCGAATTCTTGCGATTCCACAGGAACGCCAGTGCGGGAGAGGAGAGGACAGCACGCTGCCGAAGACCCCAAGCAGCCCTCCCAGACGCATGCGGCAGCTTGCCTTCAACTGGGACTCCAAGCCCGGGGGGTCTTCTCAGCGCGCCTGGCTGCGGGGCCCCGCGCCTCACGGCCCGCACAGGACACAGGGGGCGCAACAGCAGCAGTGCTGGTCCTTCGGGAAGGGAGGCTGGGCGCTCCCTTGGGCTCCAGGCCCCCGGCAGGCCCGTGCATGGAAAGAACAGCTGCGTGGTGTGGTTCCCCGGGAGCCCCCTGGGAGCCCCACCTCCACCAGCACACCTCCCACGACCCCACTGCTGACGCTTTGACAGGGGACGGGGGACTCAGCCTGCAGGGGAGCGCCCCATTCTGGCCAGGCCCTGCCCCTCCCTCCCTCGGGCCCTAAGGAAGTTCCTGAAGTTTCCAGAGCCTCCGGGCCTCCGACTGCAAGTCCCCTTGCCCCGCTTGGCCGGCTGACCAAGAGGAAAGCGAGTGAGCGACTGGGTGTTTGGTGAATGAGGTGGAATGTCTTTCACAGGGTCTGCAGCACACACGGGTACGTCCCTCCACCCGCCGACAACGTTATCCGGGAGCACTGGCCCCTCTGGACTGTTGGACGTGAGTCTGGCCCGGGAGACAAATACGGGGACGGTTATCTGTGTCCATGCGGACGAGAGCAGAGGAGGTGATTTAAGCACAGGGGAAATACAGAGCATTCAGGTAAATCGTCATCAAGCCACACGGTGACAGAGACGGTCCGGTACCGGGCGAGCTCGGGGCCGTGTTTGCACGAGCGCAGGGACACGCGGAGCTCGCACGCGCTCTTCTGCACAACTTACATCACGCCGGAAGAGTCCCCTTTCTGTAGAGGACACTTCGGAGGCTGACTAGAGAACCCTTCCATCCAGTGTTGAGGAAGTCAAGCAAGAATACGTAACTCACTCCACAGTGAACTGGAGAGTCCACAGAACAACACAGTTAGTCCTCAGATTTCCCTCTTAACACGATTCTTCCAAATGCGAATGAATACAACCGAAATACCCAGGGACCTGCGGACTGAATTCACAAGTCCCGGGATGGTGAGGGATCACGACAGAGAAACTACTGAGCGGCTGATTCCATTAAAGAAACTGGTATGATGAACGTGCTAAGAGTCAGCACGCCAAGGGCAGCGCTGACCGCAGAGAAAGGCCGGGGCTGAGCGTGCAGGTTGACCACGGAGGCCACGGAAGGGCTGGTGTAGACGGCTGCCCCCATCCTCCTGGACCAAGGCCTCTCTCTCTGCTCCTGTGGTCTCCACGGGCCTGGCACACCCTCGCGGTCCCACCACCGCGGCCCCCGGCACCTGCTCAGCGGAAGCCCGCACGATCGCCTGAAGGGGTTCCCAGGCTCTGAGAGGTCGGCAACTCCGGCCCCGCTGTGTTGGGCGAGCCCTGGTGCCCTCTGCCTGACAGGAGCGCAGGGGCTCCCCACAGAGCCCAACATATCCCAGCTGGGCCCTCCCGCCGGACAGGCACGCTGGACGCCCACGGGGCTATGGCCACGGCCTCTTGCCCCAGCACGGCCTCCTCAGGTGGCCCCTCTGCAGGTCCACCCTCTGGGGCTCCTCTCCTCTGACAGCGCAGCTGCACAAACACACACTGAAACACAAAGAACAGCAGCCACGCACACTTGGGGCCACCGTTCTCGGCACGCCTGACCTTCACAGACGGAGGACGCCAAACGGTTTGCTTCAACTCACCGTCTCAGCTTCTCCCGGATCTCGGGGTTCTTGATCTCGTTTTTCAGGTCCTCGAAGGTGTGGGCGGACGACAGGTTGCAGTAGACCCGGTATTCGTGGTAGGGTGGGATGCCGTGGTCCCGGCCGCGCTGGATGTTGATGGCGGCGAGGTCCAGGGCCACCGTGTGGGCCATGGAGAAGAGCCGCTCCGTGAGCTCCGTGTTCAGCAGCTGCGAGGGCATGCGCATCTTCCCGGCCACACCGAATAGGCCCCTGAGCAGCGGGTCGATGCCGCCCTCGCTCACGATGCGGAAGGGAGAGAAGAAGGCTTTGTGCAGGGGGATGTGTCCCTGCACGATGGGCTCGAAGTTCTCGTCCAGCCGGTGCAGCACGGGGTTGATCAGCGTGTGGCCAAAGCGGAAGGCGGCCGTGGCGAAGGCGTTGACGATGCCGGCGTTGACGCCCGGGTCGTAGCCGCGGTACTCGCCCAGCACCTTCATGCCCACCTCGCCCAGCACCTTGGGCAGCCAGTGCTGGTAGGTGATGTGCTGCATCTGCGCGCCCACGATCTTCCTCGCCTCGTGGTAGATGGTGTCGCCGTCCCAGTGTGGGTTCAGGCCGAGCAGCTCCGCGGCCACGCGGTTGTGCTCGCGGAACCAGAGCGTGTGCATGCTCGTCAGGCCCAGCTGCTCGTTGGCGCGGTGGTCCCCGGCCAGGAAGCAGGGGATGGGGCTCTCGTTCTCGTCCCGCATGCACTCCGTGGGCGGCCCGGCAGCGAAGGGCAGCAGCGGCTTCCCCGACCGCTGCACGATGCCCTGCCGCAGAAGCCCCCGGTGGCTGGCCAGGTCCCGGATGGCGCGCGCCTCGTGTTCCGTGCTCCCGTACACGTTGGAGGCGTCGATGTAGGAGGTGAGCTGGTTGATCTGCTCCCGCGGGTACACGGAGTTCATGAGGAGGGACGTCATGCCGCTGCCACACACGGGGCTGGAGCGCACGAAGAACATGCAGCGCGCCCCGCTGCGCACACGCGGGTCATTGGGGGGCACGGCCACCGAGAAGCACGGGGGGTCGCTGCTGCACACGGAGCTGCAGTGCTGGCCGTCGGAGAAGCGGGCCTGGCTCAGGGCCACCACCGTGGAGTCCAGGTCGTGGTCCAGGAACTGGCCCCACTGCATCAGCATGTGGGTGAACTGCGCGTCGGGCGTGATGGTCTCCGTCCCGATGAGGGAGGTGGACACCAGCCGGGGCATGGGGAGCGCGTGCCCGTGGTAGAGCCGGCCGGGGTTGATGCCCCGGGGCGTGTTGAAGCCGTTCTCGTACACGGCTTTCAGCAAGCGCTCAAAGGCGGTCAGCGAGGCCCCCCACATGGGGCGCTGCAGGTTGTTACACGTGCCGTCGTGTGTGCGGTACTTCTGGTGGAAGCACATGTCCGAGCAGTTGTTCACGCGCCGGTGTGCCGTGCATCCCGACAGGTTGGCGATGAGGCTCAGGTACTGGGGAGACACGAGGTCGTTGTAGTGGTAACCTGCAGGGGAGAGGGGGGCGCAGCTTACTCCCCGGACAGCGGACAGCACCCGGGGACACGGCCCAGGCCCCTGAAGTCCTCCCCAACCCTGCCTCCTGGGCTGGGGACCCAGGAGAGGGGACCTGTGTGTGACGGGCGGGGGGACAACAGGGGGTCCACTCAGCAAGGGCAAGGGGTCTTGGCAGGAACAGCCGGGAAGGACCTGACCTGCAACAGGGCTGACTGTGGGGGCTGCCCGAAGAGCCCCGCTCACACGCAGGGGCACGCGGGGGCACACGGGCTCGCACACGCACCCCCGCTCACACGCAGGGGCACGCGGGGGCACACGGGCTCGCACA